GGCCTTTTATTGTGGCCAGCCTAAGGCACACCTGTGCAATAATCATGCTGTCTATAATCAGCATCTTGATATGCCACACCTGTGAGGTGGATGGATTATCTCGGCAAAGGAGAAGTGCTCACTAACACAGATTTAGACAGATTTGTGAACAATATTTGAAAGAAATAGGCATTTTGTGTACATAGAAAAAGCCTTAGATCTTTGAGTTCAGCTCATGAAAAATGGGGGCAAAAACAAAAGTGTTGCGTTTATAATTTTGTTCAGTGTAATTACGGATTATAATGATTTATACTGTCTTTTTAGGATGTCGATTTCATACATGTCCACTGTAGAGGACACCAGGACTTAAAGCATGTTTATTACACATTTTGGGAGACACAACAAATGAATAGAGAAAAAATGATGTCGTCATTGGATCGTAAGTTTTGCTTTGTGAGTTTTAAATTGCAGACAAAAAGCGTATGTTCATATGTTCATAATTCAATTCTAGTGCAGTCCAGTACGCTTGTGTACATGGCAGTGGCGGTTCTACATTGAATTACACCCTGGGCGAGACCCCCTTCGAGCGATGATAATGATGATAATGATGATAATGACCCCCCCCAGAAAAAAACAAAAAACACAAAATTCTGCACAAACAGTTATATTTTATTATAACAACATAAGTGAATGAGAAAATTATATTTCTCAATTGCACAAATCCTTCATTAGAACATTTGAAAAACACACTTAAGAGAATCCAGTTATTTAACTATTGCAATTACAACAGGAAACACACTTTTTAAGGTGCACAATCTCCACCTCCAACATTGCCAAAAGACAATGAACACAATTCTGCACAAAATATGACAGTATAAGTTATCAGAACTTAAATAAATATACACTGTATCTAATTTGCATATGAATGTGTTCTTGGAGCAACATTTAATGAAAAAAGAAGTGTAATATTTGGAGTAATAATTGGCAACATTTGAATAATAATATCTAATATTTCATAGGAATATTGATGTATAATTTATTTCCATATTCACTTGTTGTGTCTCCCAAAATGCCTGATAAACATGATTTAAGTCCTGATGTCCTCTACAGTGGACATGTATGAAATCAATGCCCTGTTCTGTAACAGAAAGTCGTTTTTTTATTTGAAACCCCATAACGTTTTGACATAACGTCTGAGGTGTTGGTTTATGAAATACAATTTGAAAAATAGTCCGATTTAAATTATAATTACACAGATTTGAAAATTCCGTTAGCTAATTACAGGGCCTAACGTTAACCCAACTGATGGAAATAAATAATAACTGAACTTGTAACAGTTTTGTTGCAAAGCAAAATATTATGGTGAAATTAGATATTGTGTTTGTTGAGTTAAAACCGAATTATTGTTGTATAAGCATAGCAAGCATCATAGAAAAAAGGCTAACAAACTTAAGAGTTATACCCACCAATTAACATTAGCCCTTCATTCATGACATGGACACCGTAATAATCATACAGAGAGAACATTGTTGCATACCTTTATCTTTTGCTCGTTTCTCCTCTTCTTTTCTTTTTTTTCTAAATTGGGCACCTGATGGCTTTGACCTTTTCCTGTCCATCTCTGTGTTTATTTGGCACTCGACAATCAACAGATTTCCCATCCCCCCAACCCTGTCACTCACGACCAGAAGTCAAGACTAAACCAATTCACCTTGGTGACCACATAATCGTTTTGTATTACCTATTTTTAGTAGCCATTTCACACAATTCAGAAAAACAAAAATGTGCAGGAACTATAGGCCTGTATTTATAATATTATGAATGAAATGTGCGTTATTTGGAAGAAAGTCGAGGTGTGACTGACTTTAGCCCACTAATTCCATTAGAGTATTGCTCTATACAGTGGTATTGGTTTGATCACTAAAAATGATGTCCATGACACTAATGCTGTGATTTTTCTTCCCCCCTGTGTTACAGAGTGACATTTTCCATTCAGACTTGGACCATGCTTTTTCAAAAATAGTTGAGTACATGTCAGAAACTACCAGACAATGCAAGGTGAAAATGCTTTATTCATTTACTTGAACTGTGTTGAGATTTGAATTAGAAAAAAACAGCCTGTACCTCTTTAACAGAAGTTTTATGAGACTATGAACCTGGCTCAGCCCAGTGAGCGAGAACACATCTGTTGCTACCATTCCCAGCAGATGTTGAGGACCGCAGACCAGAAACAGAATGTTAGTGCACCAATCAAACGAGACATAGTAAGTACTGAGCTTGACAAAAATATGCCATACTTTTTTTTGCCATTGTAGGGATTTTCACATTTGAAATAGTTAACCCTGGTTCATTCTAAACCCCAGTTAGATGCAATCCTGGGTATTCGTATGCTGACATTTCACACTGTACATTCCTAAACCTGGTGTTAATGTTTGTATATTTGCAGAGTCAGAGTCATTGATTGGATTAACGCAGCATGCAACGTGTTTACAAAAAGCCCTACATACTGTAGGCTGTTTTTCAGTGACTGTCCAAAGCACGTGAATATGAGGCGGCTGTTGCTAATTATCTTGTTGTAACATTCTAACACGGCATCACTTCACACTGGACATGCTTGTCCATGTATTGTTAATGGTGCAACAGTGCTCTGGGGAAGGGTTTCATAACCCGGGTAAAAAGCAGTGCTAACCCTGCTTCTGTATTGCAAGTGTGAAATGTTCCTTTACCCGGTTTTAAAAGCTGACAATAACCTGGGGTGAAAAGTCTTATTGTGAAGTGAAGTGACATGTGGCCAAGTATGGTGACCCATACTCGGAATTAGTGCTCTGCATTTACCCATCCAAAGAACACACACACACCGTGAACACACACCCGGAGCAGTGGGCAGCCATTTATGCTGGAGCAGTTGGGGGTTCAGTGCCTTGCTCAAGGGCACCTCAGTCATGGTATTGAAGGTGGGAGAGAGTGCTGTACATTCACCCCCCCCCCACCTACAATCCCTGCCGGTATGAGATTCGAACCCATAACCTTTGGGTTATGAGTCCGACTCTCTAACCATTAGGCCACAACTTCCCCACGACTCTCTAACCATTAGGCCACAACTTCCCCACAACTTCACATTGTGTATGAACTTAACTTTTTTTTACTATGCTTTTACGTTGGTTTTGAGCAGATAGGAATCATATTTAACCAGGCCATAGTTACTACGTTTATTCTGCAAATCAACTCTTTTGGTTCATCTACATATTTGTTTGAAGGGTTCATCAGAATCAGAGGATTTCCTTACTGACGTGTCTCCAGGCACCTATTCCATCACAGCAGCAATGCAGGACACAAAGCCACAGTCGAAAACTGTCTGCATCAATGTAGGAGAAAGCATGAGCCTTGCATTCAAACTCTGAACTTGTGAAATTCAGTGCCTTAATTGAGGACTTGCACAATTGTAAATGCACTGACTTTGATTTTTTTGAGTATTTATAAGTGTTGTTGTTTAATACTCAGGAATATTTATACATTTTTTTGTAGTAATCATGAATTTATATTGAGCCATAGAAGCCATAATGAAATTCTTTATTCTTTAAAGTTTTGCATGATTTTACATAATAGTCTTTTGTATTTAATTAATACACCAACCATAGGATGTTTGATTTACAAACAAATATCATCTCTGGGGAAAAAAATCAGCAAAAGCTCATTGGCGATACTCATAATAACATTCTGAACTTTGGCTGTGGAACTATCAGTTTAGTTGGCCTTGTGCTGATCCAAATATTTCCCTCATATTAACTCCTCGTTTTGGTGAATCAGGAACCAGCTTAAATAAAGAGCTGTGATTGGTCATCATAGCGTTATCTGTAGAGCTCCCAGAATTCCCAGTGTCTTTAGGCCAAGAATGGCTGACATTTGGAGACCTGACTGCTCTTCCTGAAATACCAAGAACACTTAGTGAGTCAGTACAAATTAAATATTTTTTGTAAGACAAAGAAAGTCTTTTTTTCCAGCACTTGAATTTAGACCAAATGATTCAAAATTATGTTTAGTTCGCCTGCACACTTTTGTATCATGTACACTATTGTTCAAAAGTTTGTGGTCAGTATGATTATGATCGGATGATAATGATTTTTAATCATTATTTAAACATACAGTAAAAACAGTGCTGATTTGGTGCTCAAAAATTTCTTATCAATGTTGAAAACCGCTGACGTGCTTAATAATTTGATAAAATATTTTGATACTTTTTTTTAGGACTAAGAACAGCATTATTTGAAATAGAAATCTTTTGCAACATTATGTCTTTACTGTAACTTTTAATCAATTTAATCCATCCTTTGCGAATAAAAATATTAATGACTTTCAACAAACAAAAACATGCTGACCCCAAACATTTTATATATGGTCCAAAAAACTGTGTCAGTTATTTGCCCATTTTGACAGCTATATTGTAAATATTTTGTCATTACCTGGTTTCTTGTGCTGTGGTTCTGCAGAACCCCTTTTCCAGTATCTCCAGGCTGGTCTGGTCTCAGGTTGAGTGTATGGCTTTCTCAGGCAGGAAATCTCTGTGTTTATTGATCGGCTCACCAGTTCTGACCTTGAAGGCCTGTGTTTTTCAGCTGCAGTATCCTCCTCATTCTCATCTGAGTCACAGGTTGATGATGAGGAACATGAAGGCACTTGTGTCTGTTGAGAGCTCTGTAGTTCTTTCAGTTGGAGATCAAATTTCCTCTCCAGCTCATCTCTCCTTTGGTTATTCAGTAGTGGAGATGACATGAACATTGGCCAGCATCTCTTGACTGGACAGTGGCATGGTGGAATGGAGGGCAGACTGAGGTGGTTGCTCTGGTGACATGGTAATTCAAAACAATTCATGGTGCCGCAGTGGGAGACCCTGTAGCAACATGGCCGAGATGAATAATGCTGGAGGTCTTTGATAATTTGCTCACGATGAGAGGCTGGAATCCATACTGCGAGCTGTTTGGGAACATGAATTGTCATCCCGTTCCAGAAGAGAACCTGGAGTCCCAAAAGACCTTCGTCACCTTTAATGAGACAACAGATCTGAGCCATTTCCCCTAGGTTTATTCAGTTACTCATATCAATCATATGATGCTCAATAAGTATTGGTTCAAAATTTGTATATACATCTTACTTTTAAGTGGATCTCTTAGCTCCATACCGGAGATGACTCTTCCAGGCCCATATCGTCTCATGTCTGGCTCCCATGGTGCCAGAACAGTGTCTCCTGGTACTATACTGTGCCTATGTGCACTGGCTAGACTAACCATATCAGGCTGGCAAATTGGCTGAACTGTATTTAATGTGTCCATAAATGTATTTCCTTTAGGTCCAAACTTATCAAACTCCACCGTATAAAGATTTCCTCTGCCCTAGAGACAGAAATTTTTTAAATGTTTAATAAATTGTGATCTGGATTTGAATTAAAAAAAAAATCAGTTTTTATTTTGAAGTGCTGACTATATTTAAAGATAAACTTTCTAAAAACTGGTCAGTAATTTCTTTTTTTTGAAAGAAATTAATTATTTAGGAAGAATGCATTAAATTGATCAAAAGTGACAGTAAAGACATTTTTAATGCTACAATAGTTTTTATATCAAGTAAACGCTGTTTTTTTTACCTTGCCATTCATTAAAGAAAACAAATCCTGAAAACAAGTATCAGTTTCCACAAAAATAAGTGTTTTCAACATTAATAATAAATGTTTCTTGAATCAGGGGTGCCGGGCATCATGTGAGAAGACCATGCTGTCGACTAGTAACATACAAATTGATTTTAAACAAGAAATAAATATTTGTTTATTGAATAACATAGCCTAGCCCTGCTATGGACTGACAACCCATCCAGGGTTTTCACTCAGAATAAGCAGTTTGTAAAATGGATGGATGGTTGGACAACACTGGCCTTTAACAGGCACACCTAGAGTATTCCTATTGAATTTGATATAACTTTTGAATTTAATAAATAACAAATTAAGATAAAAAAAGTAGTTTCTATCATATTGTATTTAAAACTAGTTTTTTTATATAAACCAAACATGCAGCATCATCAATATTGGAGACAATAATACTGCATGGACAAATACCATAAAAACTTTTTCTTTTTTTTTTAAATAAAGTGATTCATTGTAAATTTACCTTGTATGAAAAGCTGATAATGTTGAAGAGCGAGTCTCTGAGTGAAGCTTTAGTAATCAATGTTTGAATGATAAGATTCTTCACTGGCCCCAAAAAGCCATTCATTCCCACAGAGGAGTCCAGAACGAAGGTGACATTTCTGCCTTTACCCATGAACAAGGGAAGGACACTTTGGCTGTGAGATACCTGAAGACTTGATGACATTGTCAAGTCTGACAGAATAATCTGCAACGCATTAGAATTTGCTCAGTTGTAGTTGACTTAAAGACCAATCTGACTAGCTTCTGGTAACACAAATAGTTTTTTTTCTCATCTTTTCGGATAGAAAGCAAATGTAAAAATGAAAATACAAAATAAAAACAAACAAAAAGTATTCATACCGTTCTTGATTCCTAAAACACACTTGAAAACTGTAGCAATTTTTGTACCGTCCCTAGTAATGATCCACTGAACAATGATTCCTGTCTCTACTGTGTACTGAGGTTGCCATAGTGAGCCACTGTCCAGCCTTAAACTTGTCATTTCATCCATCTAGTGGTGGCAGAAAGCATCTGATGTGCACTTGGGAACAGGTTTTAAAGGGATAGTTCACCCAAAAATGAAATCTGTCATAATTTACTCCCCCTCAAGTTATTTCAAACCTGTATGAATTTCTTTCTTCGGCTGAACACAGACAAGATATTTTGAAGAATGTGGGTAATCAAACTGTTTCTGGTCCCGATTGACTTTCACATTTTATTTCATACTATGGAAGTCAATGGGGACCAACAACTGCTTGTTTACTCACATTCTTCAAAATAGCTTCTTTTGTTATCAGAAGAAATAAATTCATACATGACTACAGAATTGTCATTTTTGGGTGAACTATCCTTTTAAGTGTGTCTGAATGTGCCATTCTGGTGATAGTGTTCCTTTAAGTCATATAAACAATAATGATTAAAAAAAGTCATCAAACATGTAGGTTCTTTTTTAATGTATATTTTACAATCTACGTAAAATATGTATGTATTAGTATATTAACAAAAATTAACATGACATGAGGGTGAGTAAAATATGACAGAATTTTTATGTATCCCTTAATATAAATGCAAATTTGCTACTAAAAACTATATAACAACTACATAAATGCATAATTTAAATCTCTAAATGAAATATTGGATAGTAATAGTAAGTACAGTGATTGTTTTGAATGTTTGTTTATAATTTTATTTATATGTTTGTATGAACCACTCTACAAGGCTCTTGAAATGACCTTTGCCCTTTATATATAATTCAGCATTCTGACAGTAGGATTGTTTTGGGTTCAAGAAGCTGCAGCAATAGTTAAAAGAAGGGGCGAAACTTTTAGAAATGTGGTTTGACAAATGCCATTAAATGTCATTCTGCACCAGAAAGGGTCACCTGAACCGGATTTCAGAACCTGAGTTCTATGAAGTCCATCCCGTGACAGACTCTCAGTCCTAAAATAGATTCATACGCTGTCATCTCCTTTTCCACTGAAACTGAAATGTGAAGAAGACACTGAGGTGAGAAAAGCGGATGAAAAATACATGATGTTTTGGAGAAAGAACCCAACTTGCAAATATTGCAAAATGCAGAAAAGCACAAGATAACTCAAATTATCATTCCCTCATTTGCAAGTCTCCTGCAAAAATGGACTTGACACACAATGCAATGGAATGCACACTTATTTTTCTATGGTATATAAAACTGGACTTTTGTAGCCTACTCTTTAGGACCGTACATGTCTTCAGATTATGTGTGCCAAGGGATACATACTGTCACTGCCCAACAGCCCTTTTTTGTTTGAAATTTTCCATCAGAAATTGTCTTATCGAGCAACTTTAAAATTGTAACTGTAGATTCCCACTGTTATTCAAGGAGCAAAACGCATTTGCTCACTTAACTGTGAAAATGTCTTTAAAAGAAAATATTTCATTAAAAAATGTAACTACTAAAATATTTTAATAGTTGTATATATATATATATATATATATTATCTTTATAATTGATTGTATTTTTTATATTCCACATTACATTTTCGTGATTTTTTTTTTATTGCTTACATTTTTTGCATAAACATCACACATTAAAACGACATAAAAAATAAGCATGGTATAAGAATTGATATCCTTCTGGTATAAAATCTCCTTCATACGAGCATAGAAGTCTATTCCAACAGTAAAGGCTAAGCCTTTCTACTGCACTGCATTGCCCATGCATCCTCACTCCAGCCATGACATAATGCAATTCAAAATGGCTACCAAGCCTTCTGTGACACACTGTAAAAATGTGCTGTTATAAAAACAATAAAACCACTGGTCACGTTTTGACGTTCGAAGAAATGCACACAACATCCGCCGCATCTATCCGCCAAGTGAATTTGTCACGGGCAGACATTGCTG